CGCTGCCTCTTGATTTATACTTCAGAAATTCGTTGGTCTGCCCTTTGCCATCGGCCCTTGGTGCTCACAGTCCCCCTGTGGTACTTGCTGGACTGGACTGGGACTCTCTAGACCCTTCTGCTGACTGTAGGCAGTCGTACCGTCGACTCAGTGCAGTTGCACTGAGGTCCTACCTGTTGACCTTGCCACTTGTCTTCGTCTGAAAACGTGGGCCTAGCTTAGACTCACCACTTGACCACTTGCCRAMCTTCTAGAAGGACTAMAGCTAGGCCTCTGGACTCTACTTGGACTCCTACCTTACAGGTCTACAGTTCGAATCTCCCTACAGCCTACAACCTACGGCGACCTACTTACCACTGGCTATCGTGCAGGTCACGGGTTCAACTTCAGGGAACTGTGCAGATACTGTACACAGGTAAGCTGAGGTCAAGGGATCGACCCCTGGGATCTGCATCGGCTACTGCCAAAGGTGAAAACTGTTTCACTAACAGATTCAGCGACTATAGAGACGGACAGATTCAGCCACGATAGATACGAACATATACAGTCACTGCGGACACATTCAGTACAGACAGGTCCTTTGCAACATGTGTTAAAACTGGAATGATACAGGAAGATTAGCATGCCCCCTGCGTAAGGATGACACCTCTAAAATTGAGAGAAAAAGAAATAAAGAAAGAAAACATCTAAATCAAGAAAAGAAACAAAGAAAAGAAAAGAAAGGACAGAGTTGCGCCGAGAAAAGAAGGAAAGAAAAGAAAAGAAAGGACAGATTTGCGCCACTTCAATTCGCTACCGTGTACTTGTATTCGAACATGTGCTGTTCGAATCTCTTCCTCTCCGCGCCACTTCCCACAAAACGACGAAAGTGTTGCTATGCACTTGGTTTCAAACATGAGGTGTTTGAATCTCTTCTTCCCTACCCGCCACTTCTCACAGAGCGACAAAAGTGTTGCTATATACTTCTATTCAAACATGCGGTGTTCGATTCTCTTCCTCTTCGGCCTAACGCAGAACATGCGGTGTTCGATTCTCTTCCTCTCCCTGCCTAAACGTAACAGCGGTTCCCCCTCCCCAATATTCGAGCCTGCTATCTCCAGAACCTGACAGGTTAAAGTACACGGGTGTCAGAGGCGGGGGGGGGGAAAGAACAGTGGGTCTCAAAAACAGGACACCGCTGGGACCCCCTGGGCAGTGGTGAGATGACAAATCCAGAATGCAAGGAAAATGAGCAGTGGCGAGATGACAAATCCAGAATGCACAATCATATTGAAAGCCAGAAAGTATCACAGTGTCCAGAAAGCAGCATTGCACCAATATGACACCAATGGAGAATCGTAACACTGAAAACCAATGACAATGAGAGCTTGCTCTCGCCACCACCAACACAAGAGTCCAGGACCTTCTCCCTACTTGGCGCTCGGCGCCCAGCCTACTTCCTACACAGCTACAATCTGCCTACTAATTGACAATGCAACTGTTGACGTCAGCAGCCAACGAAGTACTTGAAGATGTCGCCCAATGCAGACCATCGCCAATACCAGGTATGTGCCCTCACATCATCATCATCTCTCGCCCTCAACTTACACCCACGTCTTCCCTCTGTACACCCGAAGGCCACCCCTGCGCCTCACTGTAGTCCAAGCCCCAGCCAGCTATGCAGGCTGGGCTATGGCGCTGCCCTCAGCAGCGCCCTCACACACACACGACCGCACGTGCTTGCACCTTGCCTCTCAGCGCCAGCAGCAGCCCACGAGCGTAGCGTGCGCTCCAGCAGCGGTGCCGCTAGCATGCAAGTGCCCGAATCCCCTCGCAGGCAGCCCTATATGGAAAGAGCCTGCCTCCCCCGGCGGCCTGGCTGGCCTGGGCCTCTCCCAGAAGCTTCCGGTAGGCCCCAGGAGGCTGTGCCTCTGTTGCAGCTACTGGGCCTCGTTCGGTTGGGCCTCCCAACTGAGGCTGCGATTCTTGCCCAGGGCCTGCATTTCAGGAAAGGCCTGGAAGGCCATGGAATGTCTTTGCTGCTCGGCCTGTGTTTCCCTCAACCAACCGGTGCGTCACAACTGCCTGGACCCCGAATACGAAATTGACAGCAGAGGGCCTCTCGAGATTTGTTAGGCCCGCCTTCACTTAGGGCGGGCACTTCTGTAACAGGGCCCGCTTAGGCCTGCCGAGGACCCAGTTCCTCACAAAGAACTAAACGGGGAAAAAAACACAAAAAAAAAACAGCAGCAGGTCTCAAAAACGAGACACCGCTGGGACAACTCGGGCCCAGTGGGGAGCGTCTTCCAAGACCCGCTGCACAATTTAGGAGTTAGTAGAAGTAGAAGACCAACAGCTATTGCAGGATACAAGCGATACTCTGCGAACTGTAGAAGTGTTCGGCGGGTTTCCCCTTTGTATTTCGTAGGCTTTTGAGCTAGTCGCCACTCTGAACCATGGCTATGTCCCTACTTAAAAAGGGGGACAGGCTTGCACCAACATCCACACAATCATTCCTACCAGAACGCATTGGTGCCGGTCACGTCCAGGCCGAGCTTATGCTGCTGCGGTTATGGGATAACGGTGTCCAGTCTCTTCGTTCTCTGTTTCTTTCTCTCTGAGGTCAAAATCACGAGATGAAAAATCTGGTTGATGTCTCCACCATTGGAGATTTTCACTGTGTACAGTAAGGCCCAGCAATGCAGCCAGTTGGCTGCTACTACAGTCTGGGGGCTCATTGGCTGCCTCTGGGCACCCTGACACCCGTTTCTGACAGGTGTCGGGCTAGAACCCGTGCATAAGCCCAGGGGGGTTTATCTCTTTCCCTCCTTTGATCACACTATGAATCAGCACCTGCATTCGGCACTCTTTTGGGTCAAGTATGGGCACATCGTACTTCTTGAAAGAAAATTCAAAATTGACTTCCCCTTTTTTGTATGCCTACAAGTGTGCGGAACTTTGTCCCCCCAAACCAGTGGTAGGAATTTTGTTCCGAAAAGGCGGTTAACATGCCGCAGAATTGCATGTCGGGCCCACCAGACGGAGAAGGCTGGTGGCACTAGGCAAATCACACACTGCGCCAGTTCAGGTGGAATTAGCGCGCGGCAAAAGCCTGCGTTGGGAAATAGAGTCTCAAATGTCCTGGTGTGCTCAGCCCCCTTGGTGGTGGGGTTCTCCCACTTTCATCTTTTCTTTCCTTGTCTTTCTTTTTCCCTCTCCAATGTGCCGATTTCCTTTTTTTGACACAAAGCCACAGACTGCCCCATCTGTTCTGCGGGGCTGCAATCCGGTCGCTGATCATTGACAAGCATGATGAGAATTTAAAATAGAAGAAGAGGAAAAGGGAAGGAAAAGAATATAGCAAACCTAATTCCATAGAAAACTAAAGGCTGGATAACTCCTCTCGTATATATCTTATGAGGGACTCCTATGCAATATGGTTAGCAAGCAGGAGACCAGACTTTTTATGAGGGACTTTTATGCTGTATGGTTAGCAAGCAAGAGACCAGACTCGGTACCAAGCATCGTCTTCCCGGTGTATACTTGTGATGTCATCTAGCGCCCCTTATTACTGCTGAATGGTTCACACATTTAACTGTTGACGAACGGGTCATCAGTTCGGATCCTAATGGATTCAGATGGATACAATAATGTGATGGCTATGGCTCATGCAAGCCTCTCTTCTACCACCGATGGATTCAGATATGAACATACATTCGGGTGCTGATAACAGAATTGTCAAAGAGCCCTCATCTTAGATTGAGCTATTTTGTATCTATGAATCCTCCTTCCGTGACAGAGGTCGTTGGAGATGACAAAGGACAGAACTGCAAAAGAGTACAGTAACTATGGAGAGCTACTTTATGTGGAAGGGGTTGTGAGGGCAGAGCAGAAGAAGAAGGAGGTTGAGAAACGACTAGCCGAGGAAAAGGAGGCCCAGGTGAAGGAGCTCACCCTCAAGCCAGAAATCAGGTGTGTCTGTGAATGCACAAAACTGTGATAAAAATCTGCTTGAAGATAGTGTGCTTGTCAAACAAAGCAGGGATCCGTTAAGACTATTTCACCTCTTAGTTCAAGGAAAGCCTTTCTGGAAAGAAAAAGACTGCAGATAAGTTGGTACCTACCATCTTCCCCCAAATACAACGTACGCGGATTGTGTATCTGGACTGAAAGTTGCCCCCAGGACAGCTATATTGACCCTACGTAAAATTGGGGGGAAGGCAGTAGCCTAGGATCTCACAGGGGGAACTCATGCCTTGAGTGCAATCATTCACCCACTGTTGTTGCTGTGCACCATACTACGTCAAATGATCTGTGTCTGATTTCCTTGTGAGTTGGGGTTGATGGGAAGTTTGTGTTAGAAATTAAGATCTATTTTCGGGTCTTTGTGTATTTCTTTCAGGCAAAAAAGAAACAAAAACCCCAAGACCCCCCAGGTGGTGGCCTGGACCGGGCAGGCCTGGGCAAGGTACCACAGGGCCTTTCAAACAAGGTCAAAAACAAATGAAAAAGAAATTTTAAAAAAATGGGGAAAAAGGACAGATGCCACTTCTGTTTTTGCTCGAAGCGACTTGTTTTGATCAAGGGGACTCTGGACCCCATTTCCAGCAGGTGAAGCTCTCCACCAATAGACTGGAGCCATATACATAGGGGACCAACTATTGGGGGATGCATGTATCGCCTCTAATAGTATGTTTCCCTGTTGAGCCGTCAGCATGCTGGAGAAAGGCCCTACCGCCCTAAGAGAAGGCGGGTCTGCAAATTTTTCCCTTGGCCTTACTTCAATCCGCATGCCATGATCTCTACGACTATAAACAAGTTATAAGAATTTATAGGACTATATGACAGTGTAGAGATAACTGTGTTACAGGGCCCCATGGGTTGGCTGCTGCACGCAGCATCTCCAACCAACGGGTAGGGCTCATCCTTAGGTTGGTTGAAGATGCTGACGGGCAATACTTTACCATTCGTACTGACAACACCATAGTCTGCTGCATTCTCACTAAGAAAGACATCACGCCCCGCTAAGCCCTCTGGTTAGACGTTCTTGCCCAGATCACATTCACCATTTGCCATACTCCCGGCAAAAGCAACCGCGTTGTCGATGCCCTCTCTTGACGCCCCGACCACAAGCCACCTGAGAAAGTCTACGCCGCCATGACCCATATCAAGCTCCTCCCATCGCTCCATCACCGTTATACACAAGGATACCTCTCATGCCCCGACTTCTCCACCATCTACAACAAACTTTGTAACCTCTACCCTGTCCCCGATTACTCCCTCCACGACAACCTTCTCTATATCGACACCAAAAAGCACTCGCCTACTTCACATTCCCGACGCACGTGGCCTCCGAACCCAGCTCTTGGCCGAGCACCACGACGCCAAGATTGCGAGACATCTCGAGTTCCAGAAAACCTTTGGCACCATCTCCCGCTACTTCTACTGGCCTTCCTTACTCCCCGACGTCAAAGCTTACACATTCGCTCATGCCCCACATGTCAAGCCGTCAACCCTTCGAAGCAGGCCAAACCAGGCAAGTTACAGTCATTGCCTATTCCCACCCTTTGGTGGCAGTCCATCTCTATGGACTTCGTGTGCGGTCTCCTCAGGACTGACCGCGGCGATGACTGCATCTATGTCATTGTCTGTCACTTGACTAAACGCGCGCACTTCATCCCTTGCACTACTTCGCACAGCGCCAAGGACGTCGCCACTCTCTTCTTTGATCATGTCGCACACCATCACGGTCTTCCCGAGAATATCATTAGTGACCGTGATCCACGCTTTCTCTCACAATTTTGGAAACACCTTTTCAAATCCTACAGAACCACGCTCAAGTATAGCACTGCATTCCACCCTCAAACCAATGGAAAAACCGAGAAGATGAACGATACTCTCGAAAGAATCCTGCGGAAGTATTGTCATCCACACCAACATGATTGGGATCAGTTGCTCACAGCCGCTGAGATCGCCTACAACAACGGTCGATATTTCTTTTGGACGCCGGACGAAGGGCCTGGGAGTATGGGACATATGCCTTTGTTTTTCCTTGGTTTGTTTCTTGTTTTATCTTTATCTTTGCTTTGTTTAGGTTTTTTCTAGTTTTGTTTTTGTTTTTGCTTTTCCTCTAGTTTTGTTTTTGTTTTTTGCATTAAAAACAAAATCCCGACGACAAGAGGGGCTGAATTGGTTGGACGAGGTGTTGTTCGACAGATGGTTGTCTGAGAAGTTGGAGTTATGTTCCTAAGAGGCTAGGATCTCAAGTCGGCCTGGACCTGGGTGCAACTGGTGGACGGGGTGTGGGTTTTTCATCATGAACCCGACCCGAACTAAGGGTTGTTTCCTTCTGAGTCTTTTTGCTTCTCTGAACTTGGTCCTATTCCCTTCTTCTATAAGGGTCTATTGATTCTGACGGTGGTGGGAGTGGCGTCTCCTACTTGGTGGTCCTCGAGTACTTAAGTCTCGAGTTTTACTCGTGCAGTCCCTTTCCTTGCGACAAAATGACTCTTGATGAGTGTCAGTTTGGCGGACCGGTCAAAACGCAGTGTCCGGTCGTTGCGCCATGCATTTTACGTACATCTTTCATATGATTGGCGGTGCTCAATTGCTTAATTCAATACGACCATGATTGGTCGTGTTCGGGATATCTGGGATTGTGTCCTTCTACTCTCTCTCTCTCTCTCTCTCTCTCTCTCTCTCTCTCTCTCTCTCTCTCTCTCTCTCTCTCTCTCTCTCTCTCTC